GCAATTCACCCTAAGTCAAATTCCCCTTAAGTCAAATTCCCCTTCAAATTTATTCGGGTTTACATGTTTCAATACACCTAAAAGAACCTAATGCATATGAACAAATATAGTGAAACGATTGATCTTATGAAGTTATGGTGTTCAGAAAGCGCAACTTTTTTAGTCATCTACAATTCACACCCATGCACATTTACATGTTTAAATGCGGTACGACATGAGGACAGCACCAACCTTTTTCCGAAATAATGGCTACCAATGTGATATAAAACCTTAACCATCTACAATCATGAATCATGATAAAAACGTAGCCAACCCATATTTGCTTATTGGAATCTCTATAACTGTAGACAATAAATAGATATATTATGTGGGGGATAATTGAAAAAGATAATAATGTTTCTTTTTGAAATTTATTCCATATCCACTTTTATAAAACAACTAATCAAGACATGAAGAATGACTTTATGTCTTTGTATGTGTGTTTCCTCCCATGTGAATGTGATCTTTGCCCTACTTATCTCGCCTTTACGCTTCCCCTTTGCTCTTTGCTTCATCATCCACAGCGTTAAAAGTCATATGACAAAATTCTAATTTGCTTTTTATAATGTTTTTGCATTTCTTTGATTTTAACATAAATGACAAAAAAGAAATTATATAATTTACCAGGATCTTATCAAGACCCAAATCCACAAACTCATGATATTGATCCATGTAAATAGAAACATAAAAATATGTTTTATGAATATCATATTGTAAGTTAACCTTGGGAGTCATGGGGAAGCATAGCTGGCGCCGTCCAGAGTCGTGTATTCAAATAGCGAAACGTCCCTTTGGGCAACGTAACTACATCGGTCATTGTAGATGGTGTTTCAATTAATTCGTGTAACAACATCCCTCGAAGAATCCGTAGGAGTGTCTTATCAAAAACACAAGGGACACGAAAAAGAATCGGTAGGAGTAATTTGAAGGGATCTGATGAATTTGGTATTCAAGAAAAGTTGTCCAAGCCTGATGATGTTACTACCTCCACACCTCCAAACCTTACGTAGCTAAGCAGCTCCGATCAAGTTCAAAGATGCGATTCCTCCACTACAAGCGCAAAGCTTTAAAAGATAAGAAGAAATCTTTGATGATCAAGCGCAAAGCCATTTCCACCACTTAAGTTCCGCTCTACTTTCTCTTTTAATTTATTCCCCGGAAAATGTTTTGTAACTTGCGATGGTTTGACTTTAAAAGAGCTATTTATGTATCTCTATGATTAAGCTCCTATGCTCATTAATAAACATTTGTTTGAGTTTCTTACAGATCTCTCTTATGAATTTATTTCAATTGGCACTAAAATAAAAATGGAATTGATTTAAAGTCAGTTGGAAAGAGTTACACATATATTTAAACC